TAGATAGATAGATAGATAGATAGATAGATAGATAGATAGATAGATAGACAGACAGACAGACAGACAGACAGACAATCACATTGTGTATGTGAGAGGGGGGGCACTGTGTATTCAGCATAGAAAGCTAACCTTAGTAAATATGCAATATTCTGATTTGTTAATTTATAAATATTTTAAAATGGGCTGCAAGAAGGTTTAAAACAGTTTTTTTTTTCTAAAGGAGAGAAGTGTAACCACATTCAGGATTAAAACGAAACACCCCTCAGTGAAAGCCCTGCTTTAAGGAATTGAGGATCTATCACCCTGTCTATATCAGACCAAGAAAGTCTAATAGTGTTTTTCTTTCCCTTCTGTGACATTACAGAGGTTTCTTAATTGTTTTCCTCCAACTTGTTTTGGAGTTGAACTTCTCACTTCATCATTCTGGGAAAGAATCTGGCTTATCTTCATCAAGGTCATATTTATTCTTTAGAGAAATACCCAGTTTCTTATTGAAGCAGATGCTTCAGCATGGACCTATCCATGTATTATCTCCTTGGTGACCTTCCATGGTAGCCCCTCACCCACCAGGGGAGATGTGGATTTAATAAACAGATGCTCAGCTTTGAATACTGAGGATTCTGTCTACTTCCTCCAAAGTTAGTTTCAAAATTCTCCCAGTAACCACATAGGTTGTTTCTGTAACCTCACTAGAACTTACATAGGCATTGTCCAACTCTCAGTAAATCTGCAGATGATCCTGTGATCCATCCCTCTTTTTCAGGATATTGGTCCTGTTGGAAGGAACTGTTGGCTGGCAACATAAGAAAACTATATCACAATGTAACCCCCTAAGATATGCCTGCCTGTGATCAGATTCAATCTTTACCTTCTACTGATTTGGGCAAACTGGTATTTCTAATGATCAGCTGTGATACATGATTTATATTAGCTAGAAAACAGGATTTCCTGCTTTCTAGCTAATCTAAGTTGTGTGGCACAGCGGATTCCCCACTTCACTGTTCTACTTACCTTTGCAGGTGCACTCAGTAGCAGGATCCACCCACCTACACAGACTTCATCACATCTGTTTTTGATCCTCTGCGTTTGTGCGGAAGCTCCTGCACATGCATGGAAGGTCCTGCACATGTACGGAGTTGGTGTATATGCGCTCACATTTGTGAACCAGCAATAAAGGTAAGTAGATTTCATCCCTGGTCAAACTACCCTTCAGATACTCAAGAGAAGCACAGGTTCCTCTGGATGACATTAGTCATCTGGCGTAGACCAATATAAAAGGTCTTACTTTCCTGCAGAAGAAGGCAGCACCAATAAACTGTAAGGGAACTAGAGAGTGATCTGATCATGGCAAGGGAGTTTTGGAAATGTTGCCTATACCCAGATCATATTATAGGCATTCTGAGATAAAAACTAGATACAGTCTGTAACCCACAGTATGGTAGGGGTCTCAATTACTTGGGGACTCCATTACCAATGCTTTGATGGAAACCACCAACTCAAAGACAAATATCACCGTGGAGCAAAGAAGCTGCTATAACAGCAACAAAGTAAACAGCACTGATACAGGGATTATTTCAGTATCTCATTGTCTCTATTGGACAATATCGGAGGGTTGCCAGAAAGTTTCTTCATTTGTTCTACAGACAGCAAAGTAGTTTTCACAGTACATGGTATGTTGCCTAATTGTCTCTCACAAAACTTGCAATTGTAAATAAATTTTAAAAATCCAAGGTAGAAGAAAAGGGTTCCTGTTATTGGTTCTTTGTCATAAAATGCATAGCAAAGGCATCACATGGATTCTTACTTGTAGAAAAGCATGCAATAAAGTGTGAAAAATGCATCACATCTTCTCTGATCTAGAAGAATTATTTGTAAGGAATGAGAAAACATTTTATTAGCTATGGAAGAATGTTATATGTTATGTGATCGATGGATNGTTTCAGTCACAATTCCAGCCTGGTGATACACCAGAGGACTCACACAGGAGAGAAACCCTTTGTGTGTCCTGATTGTGGGAAAAGATTCAGTCAGAATTCTAGTCTGGTTAAACACCAGAGGACTCACACAGGAGAGAAACTGTATGAGTGTCCAGACTGTGGGAAAGATTTCAGTACTAGGTTTAACCTTCTAAACCATGTGCTTATACACACAGGGGAGAAACCATTTAAGTGCCTCAAGTGTGGACGGTCCTTTAGGCAACATTCCACTCTTATCGCACACAAGAAAATCCACCTGTGGCCCAAAGTGATGTGTGTAGAGAAAGCTTGAATTTCATTTCTAATATCCCATTGTAAGTCTAGACGAGAAACTGACTACTGTGTTTTCCGAAAATAGGACATGTCCTGATACTAAGCCCTACCAAACGTTTCAGGACATGGGCTAAAAGAAGCCCCCCCCCCCAATAACCCCCCGAAAACTACTAAAAGGACTCTGACATGAACCTGACCTTGTGCAGGGAAGGTTATGGTGGTTTCTATGCCCTCCCCCTGCGGAAGTTGGGCCAGGCCCACCCGATCTACAAATTCTTTGGCAGCCCGCTATCTGGCCTGGGCGCACAACTGTCTTGCACTTCGGAGGTCGCTTCAGGCCTGAATCCAGCTCCTCATGCCTGCATGGCAGACGCCTCCTCGGCTATTTGGGAGGCCAGTTGCTCCCCCAGCTCTCCTTGCCCGGCAGAATTCCTGCTTGCCAGCACCCCGTTTCAATTTGTGGAGCGGAGTGATGGGGGTGGCGCAGTCATGAACTGCCTTGGAGAGCCACCTGTCACCTTTCCCTATCCTGGCTTCCAGGGGACTTCACATCGCTGGGGCCCAAGCATTTTCTGCCACCACTGGGCTCAGATCTCCAGGCAACTGCAGCAGCTCCAGAACCCACCATTGATGATGAAGCAAATGGCGGCCACCTGTGGCCAATCTCAGTGCCTTGGTCCGCCTGGCCTACAGCAGGTTGGGCACCTCCGATGCCCTCACGCTGCCGGCAGCCATGGCCATCACCAGTCCCTGCACCAGCACCTGGGCGAATCTGCTTTTGAAGTGCAGGAAGGTACTTGGTTCCTGCCACCTCATCCTCCAGCAAGTAGAGGAGATTTGCTGTTCCAACTGGGAATAGATGGGTTGCAGGAGCCTCTGCCCCTCCCTGCCCCATGCCCCACCTACCAGCCCCTTTTCAGCTCTGTTGTGTTCCTCACCATTCTGTCCACTTTGGGCACAAAGGGAAACACTAAAAAAAACTTCTTGTGAATTCAAAGTTCTTGCTGCTGCAGAGTTGCTTTGCAATTAGAGCCCTTCTCACCCACCCCACCTGCCGCCTTCTGGAAAACAATAAGCTCCCCTGATAATAAGGCCAGCACCCTGTCTTATTTTCAGTGAAACACAGTATTTAATTTGACTATAAATAATTTGCCTGATTTTTTGTAGGCTAATATGTAATGATACTAGATGGGAAGGAGAAAAGAAGAAATTGCAACGTATTAGTTTGATCATGGTTACCTGCCCATCAGCAGAAGAAGTTGCTGGATATTTATTTTTGCAGAAATTGTGCAATTATGTAAAAACATTTTTGGAGTGTTCATCCTGGTAGATAATAGAAATGTCACATACAGAGTCCCAGCCTTTTTCTTCCTTTCCTGCCTCAAGATTTTCAGTCCCAGAATTCTCCATCCAGCATTTCTTGGAGATAGGAACGCTCAGGCTATAGTTACAGATTGTGGCTCCTCATAGAAAATGAGAGAAGAGAAGTAGAGAGGGTTCAAAGTTTATCTTTCCAAAAAAGTTCCAGGAATTCAGTGCACCAAGCATGTCTGTTTAGATTGTGTCATGAATGAGGCACGCAATTGAAGATACCGTATGAATAGCAAATATATTGGGGGAATTTGGGACAGTGACAAAACCAGTTTCAGGTGTAATTTCAGGCCTTGCACCTTTTACAATCTTTTTTAGTATGTCACAATCATGTGATACCTTTCAAGGACACCCAACAACTAAGACCAGGCCTGGTGTGTGGAAAAACCAAGAGGCTCTTGGCTGGAGTCTTAATTCCAAGTGCTTTAGAATTTGAACATGTTGCGGGGTGATATTGGGACAATCACCAGGAGTCAGTGAGTTCCGGGGTGATATTGGGACAACTGAATGGAGCTGAGTTTACTGGCCGGATGCCCTTCGTATCACCAATGCGGAGTTTGCAGCAGATATATTGTCATTGTGCCCAGAGAGAGAAATATCTGCCTCTACCTCGGATCGAACTCACATCTTCCTGATCGTGAAGTGAGAGCTCCACCTCTAGTTCACCGCACCACACTAAAATAGTAAAAAATATATTTAATCAATTTTCCTTGTTTTCTTTCCTTGGTGTCACATTTTAGTGCGTCATCTTTATCATGTCTCATCTTATTATAGTTAACGAGTCGGAAATCCTTTCAATGATCCCAAAGCCTCTGAATCTCTTACAAGACTATATAACCATATCAAGCAAAATTAAATAAAGCCAACCTACATTACATTGTGGGTGTGCACATGTGCTATTGCACAATTTTGGCACATGTTTACTGGTCTAGTCTAATGAAAAGAATGACAAAGGGGGCCATGATAGCAAAATTTCAATATTTCAGTGGCTGTCACAAAGATGAGGGGTGAAGTTATTTTCCGAAGACCAGAAGGCAGGACAAAAAACAGGGAGAACAACTAACCACTGGAACAGTTTGCCTTCAGAGGCTGTGGCTGTGTCATCACCGGGAAGTTTTTAAAAATAGGCTGAATAATCATTTGTCTGAAATAGGATCTGCTTGAGCAGGGGGTTGGACTAGAGGACCACCAAGGTCCCTGCCAGGGTAGACTAATTGATCAATCTTGAAAAGTGCAGTCTTGAATTGGCTGTTGGAGCAGCAGAAACAGGTCAATGGGCATATTTTGTGGGGAGGAAGAAGATCCAATTTGGTGTAGTGATGAAGACGCCAGATTAGAGACAGAGAAACGCTCAGTTCCAGTCTCACCCAAAGGGCAAAAATCTGTTAAACTTTGGCCAATCCTCTCAGGCATAGGAAGCAGGAAAGGGGGGAGGGGGAACCACTTCCAAAAACCCTTCCAATGGAAACTGCAAGGCCAACCATCAAGATTTGACCCAAAGGAACAAAAAACGAAGTTTAGCGTCACGTTTCACTATTTCAATTGGCTCCGTTGTTAAGGTCGGTTGCTAGGAATCGAAAACGACCTGCTGCCATATCATCACTGTAAACCTCTCCCAAACGCCT